ACTTAGTATTCACCTTCTAATTCGTATCCCATTCATCAAATCCACCTTAGCTTATATTGAATTACATTTGTATATTCCACATTACATATTGTGTAGCATATGTGCGTTCTTGGGGTGAAGTGTGTGCGTTTACTGTAATTCCTTGCTTGTTGATGCGTCCTACGTATTATGCTTGTACGTAATGTTGTCCATTGTGCAATTGGCTAACAAACGCACAAACCAATACAGTAGTCCATAAGATGTTATGAATAATATAATATTATCTTCCATAAATAATCACAACCATTACATTAGATCATTGTAATACACAGAATATTTTATTTGTCATCACGCACAGACAACAAATAATACACACACACACACAGGCCGACGTGAATTCATGCACTAACCAAATACCACCCATACCGTCTAATTCATACCAAATGAGCACACTATTTCATTCCACTCACATCCATTATATCAATCATTTTCGGCTTCACAATGAATGTCACACCGCACAGGCCGACGTGAACAAACGCACACACAAAACTACTATGGCCCATGACGCACACTCCGTCGTAAACAAGAAAACAGTCATACCGTCTAATTCATTCAAAATGAACATACAAATTCCTTTCACGCACACCCATTGTAATAATAATTTTCGGCTCCACGATGAATGTCACACTGCATCAAAACCCTCATAATGCACGTCATGTCAACGCTAGCTGAAAAAATGCACCCACCGCCTGTCCCCCAACTACCTACCTGCGTAAACATTCTTCTATTTACTAAAAAACACACACACAAAAACGTCCCAATTGTTTCGTGTTCCCCTTGCATATTAATTTAAATACAGCCACCAACAAAAAATAATGACAACAGTGTAAAATTTTACTACGCACACGCCGTCGGACCTGGATGTACAGACCAACGTACAAAGTTAATTACATACTTAAGTCAGCAACTCTCATACCTGCGCTATTCGCCATCTTCAACCTCTGAAAATTCGTCCCAATCACAAATCAAAAGCTCATGGTTAAACTCCTACAGACATTGTCTAGAATTGACTACAACTTATTTCCATAATATTTGTAATCTTTGATTATGGCAAAGATTCCAATCTAATTCTAACCAAAATTAACACATTAATACAATTACTTTTAAACCCCCTATTTAAAATATGTCCTTATTTACATTATATTTCTCATTCAATCTCATCCATCCATTACAAATTTATAAATGGATGAGATCTCATCTCACCATCTCATTTAATAAGGGGGTCTCATGGGATCTGCACCCTATATATATATATATATATATATATATATATATATATATATATATATATATATATATATATATATATATATATATATATGAGAACATGTGTTTAGGTGATAACACATCATGTGCTTCCATCTAATATTTTTTAATGGTCTAGATTAGATTAAGTGTGTGCGAACGCGCATTAAATGTGTGCAAACGCGATTTAGTGTGTTTGCACACAATTTGAATTAATTTGATCTAATCCACTTTTTCAGACTAGTCTAAACGGATTAAGGCTCTCAATTCAATAGATTATTAATATTACTTTATAGCGAAAATGATTATTTTAGTCTCTTAATTGTAATATAATAGACAACTCAGTTACATAATTATATTTGTAGTGCCATTTAATTATAGAATTGTCCATTTGGAGGCCCTTGTACACATGATTGAGCTTTTTTGTTTTTTTGTAAATTTACCAATTAGACTTACTACAAATTTCCTCAACACAATTTTCTTTTTTTTTTTTCTTTTTTCAATTTCAAGTTTTAACATGTCATTCTCATTCTTTTTTTTTTTTTTTATCAAGAATCTTCAATAACGCTCGGATTATCTTCACAACACACTCAAACATTTATATCAATCCACCTAAACATCCCACAATACTCTTTCATTAACAAATACAAAATTTGGAGAAATTTGTATTAATAACTTCTCAAAAATTTGAATAATGCAAAAGATAGGGTAACAGAGGTACTCACATTAGATAAAATAAACACTTGCTTTTTGTGGAAATGCTCGAAAACATTTACCTAAAGTGACATAATTTTAAGACATCCTAATTGATAGCTGCACATCCTTACATCTATACCGAAATTCTTAATACATTTCAAAAGACATACAATTTGAAACTTGGGACATCTTTTAATCAATTAAACTTCGAACATATACTTGTAACTTTCCTAAAAGATGAATGTTCGAATTTTCAGAATAAAAATTACCCCAATAATGGTAGATAAAGGAATACAATATATGACTATTGGGATAATGATGGAAGAAAAAAATAATATAAAAAATGTACATCATTGTCCTTTTAATGTGTCGATTATTATTACAAACTATCGTTAGGTTTGAACAAATATTTGACATGAGAGACTAAAAATGCTATAAAAAAAAAAAAAAAAAAAAAAAAACAATAAGGGACTAAAGAGGGTTACCATTATAAATAAGGGACTAAGTTGTCCATTATGCAACAATTTACAGATTAAAAAAATACTATTTCCATTACTTATATATATATATATATATATAGTACAAAATAAGGCTTTGTAATATTTAATGAAATTAATTTAGAAAAAATATAATGCTCCAAAAGTTGTGACTGAGTGGAATTAGCATGATTCTGCTACTCTTTGGGTTGAGCTGTTGAGCCTATTATACATACTTTTCTTAGTATGATTTATCTCTCATATGTAATTTGTCACTTATTACATAAAAAATAAATTTACTCAATATATATTCTCGAATAGTAATTACGATTTCCTTCTTACCTAATTTAAAAAACATACAAATAATACTCAAAAGTCAAAGACCTTGTGGTCAAGTGGTATTGACTTGTTGGATTATGAACAAATATTACATGTAACATGCAAATGCCTCCACTAAGACTTGAACCTATCACATTCCACATAGGGGAGCAACATGGTACTATTGAATTACAAGATCCTTGGTTAACAAGGTACTTTTACTCAAAGTATAACTACAACTTTTAATTATGACAAAATTTATATTTTATTTAAAAAATAATGTACAACTTGAAAAGCATAAAAAAAAAATAGACATAATTGAGTAATATAACTTTCATTGGCTCTTATAAGATAATTATTATATTTGGGAGAAGATAGTTATTATATTATCTCACAAATAATTTAATATGGAGAAAATGCTTTTTACATCTCATTAATTCTTTCACAATATGACTTATAATTGATGGGTAGAGAAAAAAAAAATAAGTGTGTGAGACCATTTCATTTTGAGACGTGAAACACTTTATTGGAAGGAGAAAAGTTTGAATGTGAATAACACAACTCTTAATTTTTTCTCAGCTTTATTGTTAATAACAATCTGAGATCTATGATAAGCAGCATTATGGAGATTGGAGAGATAGTGAATTCTATAAATTATCTCGCCTTATCGTCACTTGTAGTAGGATGAAACAAAAAGGAGATTTTGGGATTCCTTAAGAATAAAGTTCTCAGCAAGTATATGTGGTCTAATGGTACCCGGGTTGGACTTCCATTTGGAAGGTTGTGAAAGTATATAAACAGATACTACATTGTAATAGAGCCAATAGCATTCAAAAAAAAGTTCTCAGCAAAATCAGCAGCTGGAATCACAAATTCTTATCAAGACCCAGAAAATAAGTTCGTATACAAAGTGTGATACAAGCACTACCTTCCTATGCTATGAGTGTATTTCAAATACCAAAGGAGATTGTGAGAGAAATTGAATGTGCTATGAATGCTTTTTGGTGGGGAGTAAAATATTGCAACCGTAATGATATTCAATGGAAATCTTGGTCACACCTTAGCTTTGTATTCCCAAAGATTGGAGTGGTATTAGGTTTCGAAAACTGGACCTCTTTAACAGTGCACTGTTATGCAAGCAAGCTTGGAGACTCATTCAATTCCCCCTCGTCCCTTCTTGCAAGAGTATTCCAAGCAAAATACTACCCAGGCTCCTCATTCTTAGATGTTAGAATTAGCAGTAACCCATCCTTTATTTGGAACAATCTCTTAAGCACCAAGGAGATCATTAGAAATCATAACTGTTGGAGGATGGGTAATGGTAACTGCATTAATATTTGGAGAGACATATGACTTCGTGATCCCTCAAATCCACAGATCACCACGCCACCTTTCCCTTTCTGGAAAATGTTGTTGTTTCCTCTCTCCTCAACAACCAATTAGATCAAAGTTCGGACATGGACACAATTCAAAATATATATTTAACCATCGTGACGCCACTCTAATCACAAACATTCCCATGTCCATGTTCAAAAGAGATGATAAACTAATTTGGATGAGAGAAGACTGATGTCACTTTACAGTTAAACGTTGTTACAAGGCTCTTGTGGGTGAGCAGAATATTGATAACAAGAAAGATTGGGTCTCAATACGAAAAAGTATATGAGAATCAAAATAAATGCAAAAACAAGCACCATTTACGCATATTATACTCTGTAATTATAATTTTAACATAATGCTAGCAACAGAATTAAGACTTAAACACATATAATTTATTATTACTAAATTTGTATTCAAGTATTAATTTTGTTACTAACATAATTTAAAATTATAATTATAATATTTGTAAATAGTGTTTTTTACTTATTTTACTATTATTTTTAATAATCCAAAAACATATTTAAAATTGAACAAAAAATGTCAATTTTAAAAAAATTGAGAGAACAAATATGAATGTATGAATAATTCAAGAGGAAAAATACTATAACAAGGTGGAAAAGTGTAATTTTTCCTACATTTTATAGAGACATTCCAGGCCATCTCCAAGGCCCTTCCCCTCCAAAGACAAAAATTCAAAAACCCTCTGAAGAGCTTTGGCGACAATTGGCAGTTGATTCTTGAGAGCGGAAGCGCATATGGATTTTGTTCGGTATGGAATTTCTTTATCGGCTTTGTCAACTCCAATTCAGCATTTCTTTATCCGCTTTGTCAACTCCAACCATTTCTTTATCCGCTTTGTCAACTCCAATTCAGAATTTCTTTATCCGGATTTACATTTGCTGGATTGGGTGTCTGTGGGTCCTCTTTTCGAGTGAAGTACAATTTGGGTTCTTTAGTTCTAGGGTTTTCAGTCTTGATTGAGGGGAGAACTCTGTTTGCTGAGAATGATGGCTTCTCCTGCTGCTGCTGCACCTCTTCCATCACAAAAGGAGCTTGAGGAAATGCTCATTGAGTCTGGAATTGAGCTCTCTACACCTCCTTCATCCACTGGCGAGCTTCTCAGCCTCCTTGAAGTAAAATTCTTTCCCTTTTCTTTTGCATATAAAGGTTCAATTATGCTTGGATTGGTTTTCATTGATGGGATTTCTTCACCAGGCAAATGATTATAAAATTTTAGGGTCTCTTTTCCTGCCTGAAAGGATCAATTCTTATGTTGTTGTTGTTGTTCTGTCTACGTTTTATTTAGAAATGTTTATGCTTTCATCTCTAGTTTATTCATATACGTTTTTAGGAACTGACATGTTGAATTACACACACACACACTCAAAACTACAGTCCTCATCTGGACATTATATGTTTACTACTGTTGTTTTAACTCTTCTCTTGCATTGCATTTTCTTTTCGAAAGCTGAATCAGAACTGAAGAGCATAGGGCAAGACCCTTCAGTGTCGATGAGAAATGTACTTGAGCCAATTAAAAAAGCGCTGATTGAAACAAAACTTCTGAGACATTCTGATAAAATCATTGAGGTTTCTGTTGCATCTTGTATCTGTGAAATTATGAGAATATCTGCACCCGTTCTACCCTATGATAATACAGAAATGGAGGTATTTAATACTTTTTATATGTTCAAAACTTAGGCCGGGTTGCAAACAATTTTAGTATTTATTTATTTATTTATTATTTCTTTCTACTTGAGCAGTCTAACATATATCATATATGTGCATCTATGTTTAAAAAATATCATCTTTTGGTTCTCAGGTCGTTTTCCATCAGATTATAGCATCCCTTGAAAAGTTATATTTCATTGATAGTAACTACTATAGTAAGGCTCTGAGAGTTCTTGAAGCGGTTGCGAAGTACAGGTTGTGTGTGATGCTATTGGATTTTGACTATGTGTTAGCTGTTAACGTTTTCCAACTGTTTCTCAAAATCATCAGGTATTTTCTAGTTGTTCATATCATATAGCGTTACACACTATAGTATAATATTCTCCTATATTGTACATTTGTACTCTTTAATGTGTCTATAGAATTGACCCTTCACTTTTTATCAAGCTTCAACCATACCAATGCTGTGTTAAGATACATGGTAGACATCATGTCTCAGCTCATAGAAGAAAGAGATGAAGTCTCACTAGATTTTCAAGTTTCCATTCTTGATAGCCTCAGAAAGGAAACTCTGGTAATAATCACTATGCAAATATTGATGCTATCTCCAAACATTGTTTTCAATTTTTTGATTAACTAGGTATGTTTTTATCTAGGCTACTGCACCTTGTTCATCGATATTGGGAAGCGAAGTCTTGGAAAAGTGTGCTGCCAAATTGAAGCCTTGTCTTTTAGAATTAATGACAAATATGAACATGAATTTGGATGATTATTCTAAAATACTTGGCTCAATATTGCATGAAGTTCCTGAGGGAGAAAACATGGTATCTATGTGTTTGCGTATTTTTCATTAAACTTGTTGACTTTCTACTGTTGTATTTCCTTTGAAGATCAGAAGATGTTTATAGATTAAGATAATTTGGGTGTGTTCAGCATATGCTTTTGGATAGAATGAGTAGTTGGAATCTGTAGAAGGCTAGAGGCTAGGTGAAGGGAGTGGACATTAAAAATGACGTACTATTGCTAGAAGCTGATGTAGGCATGTAGCATTAATGAGAATGAAATGGAGAAACAGAATCCATATAACTGAAAATTGTAAAAAATGTAAAAAATGTCCCTCTATAATATGCCAATTATCAATGTCACCCCTGAATTATGAGTGGTGTAAATGTTGCCCCTCAATTATCAAAACGGTGCACATATAGCCCTCCCGTAACGGACATGTGGTTCCCCGTTAGTGTACGACACCGTTAAGTCAAAGTAAATATGTAATTTAGTTGTTTTTTCCCTCCTTCAATTCGAAGTACCAGCGATGGACATCGGTGGGGAACCACGGGTCCGTTACGGGAGGGGCTATATGTGCACCATTTTGATAATTGAGGGGCAACATTTACACCACTCATAATTCAGGGGTGACATTGATAATCGGCATATTGTAGAGGGGCATTTTTTACAATTTTTCCTTAAGATAATTTGGGTGTGTTCAGCGTATGCTCTTGGATAGAATGAGCAGTTGGAATCTGTAGAAGGCTAGAGGCTAGGTGAAGGGAGTAGACATTAAGAAAGACGTACTATTGCAAGAAGCTGATGTAGGCATGTAGCATTAATGAGAATGAAATGGAGAAACAGAATCCATATAACTGAACTTAACTAGGCTAGGATTGGTTGAGTTGGGTTGAGGTTATGTCCTCAAGCTTCAAAACTTTGTTATCTATTATCTGCTGTCAGCGTAAGGTTTGGTAGTCAAGAGATGCATTAATTTTAGGGAAAATTGCAATTTTGGTCCTTCAGTTATAACAACAGTACAAACTTAGTCCCTGAGTTACATGCGTGACCATCTTTAACCCCTAAGTTATGCACGAAGTGGCGATTTTAGTCCATCTAGGACTTTCTACCACCAATTTGTCACTTACTAAAGTGGCTGATTTGGTCCTTCAAGGACTCAAATTGCCACTCCATGCATCACTTAGGGGTTAAAGATGGTCACGCATATGACTCAGGGACTAAGTCTGTACCACAAGTATAACTGGAGGACCAAAAATGCAATTTTCCCTTAATTTTAAAATCATAGAACCATTTATCCTTAAAGAAGAAGTCTTTAATACTGTCTAGATTTAAGTCATGGGCATCTGATCTGCTTGTTTTATGCTGTCACTTGCCATTCTACATTGAGATATGATGAATATGATATTCTTCCGTGTTTGTGGGAGGGGGGGTTTCCTTCTTATGGATAACAATCTAATTTTTCATTTTTTCGTGAATGATCAGGTGGAAAATGCTGGTTCTGTACCACCTGTAGAAGGAACATTTGCTCTTCAACTTCCTCAGGTACCACTACTGGATGCCACTCAAACAATGAATAACAATAACAATAACCTGGAACTTGATGGGTCATTGAAGGCATCTTTTGGGATGAACGAAAGCAAACGCTCTGATGAAGAACCTACTATCAAGAAGGAACAAGAGAAGAAATCTTGGAGCTCATTGGACATTAATGCAACTTCAATTGCGTTAACTTTGCCAGCTGTAACTGGAAAGGAGTCTGTGACTAAGCCTGATGTGTTAGCCCCCAGCAGCACAAAAAGTCCTTGCAAAAGGGGCCAACCAAAGAAGAATCAGACAGATCTCACCGTGCAAAAGAGATATGAAGGGACTAGGTCTGCCCAGAGAAAACTTAAAGAAAAGGTACTACTGTAATGGTGCTTGCAGATTCTCTAGATTTCTGGTTAGAGTAATCTTTGTGATTCTATCTATTCAGTTTCCTAATCATTATATTTCTGCATTGCCTTAACCCATAACTAATTGGTTTGCATCTCTTTATTGAGTTCTATTAAAACTTAAATTTCCATCTGCCTCTTTCTGTTCTATCTCTAATTAGTACCATATTAGTGGTTTAGGATGTGACTTCATGTATAAACCCCCAAAAAAAAAATATTAATTTTTTTAATAACATTGAACTGGTTTCCTTGTCGGAAACTAGACCAGAGACTGGTTTGATTTCCGAAAAGGAAACCAATCGCCGGAAACCAGATTAGTCAAGGAAACCAATCTGGTTTCCGGTATCTGGTTTTCCAAGTCGGGAACCAATCTGGTTTCCGACTTGGAAACCCAGATTTTGGATTTCCATGTCAGAAACCAATCCAAATTGGTTTCCGACTTGGAAATCCAGAACTAGATGATTCCAAGTCGGAAAATAGTTTCCGATGTTGAGAAGTGATGCGATGTCGAGAAGCGAAGCGATGAAGAAGCCTGAAGTGGAAAATGACTTCCCCTAAAAAAAGGGGAAGTCATTTTCCATAAAAATGACTCTATTTTCCATTGACCCAATTTCATTTTCCTTTGACTTTAGTGTTTTCCTACTTACCAAACACTAGAAATCATTTTCCGGGTTTCCAAACACACCCTTAACGTATTCCAAGAAAATAAAAAAATTAGGAACTTAGTATCATATTCTCCTTCTTGCAACCAGTGCACCCCTAGACATATGTTGAACTTGCGGTATCTCAGCATTAAATCCTTTCCACCGTAAGTGTACCAAAAAAGAATGCATAATTGGTAATACTATATTATTGCACTTTCCAACGAGTGTGTTGATTGTGAGGGATTGAAAAGCCTAGTGGGTGGTGACTAAGCAGAAGCAAAATATGTGAGAATACTTGTAATAGAGAGAATACATGATTATGTTAATAATAATAGATTGTCTCTCTATGTTTCTTGAACGGTACAGAGTGTATAGAGATTCTATATTTATAGAAACATTGGGTTAAACCACTCCTACCTTGAATAGGAAATCAAGATTACTCCTAATAGGAATAGGACTAAGGCTTCCTATTATTCAACACTCCCCTCAAGCTGGAATATCTAGAAGTTCCACGCTTGAATTAAAACAAACACTCCACCTAAGTCAAAATTACAAATGAAGATTAAATGCCGCTAGAGGATAATAGTGTTGAATGTCGTCGGAAGACATGTCACTATACACAACCCTTGGAAATGAAGTTGAAAGCATCAAGGATGGATTTGAACATGAACAAGCTCAAGCTAACAAAGTGACACAAACACTCTTGAACAAATGTAAAAAAGCCTTCATCAAGACTCAAGAGTAGAGGTGAAATGGAGCAGGGGCAATAAATGGGTACATATGGTCCCTAACAATGAAGATAGCCAAAGCGATAAAGAGAAGCCCCATAGCAATGAAAGAACAAAACATGCGTGGTTCATGGTAATACTCCCCTAGCCACCCTTTCTTGAAACTTGAGAAATAATAAATGGCCTTTGGACATAAAATATTATAGTGCCGATTGCCGAAATTAAACACCCTCAGGGAACAATAAGGCACACTGAAAATGAAGAAGCAAATAAGGTAATACCAAAATTGAACTCCCTTAGGAAAGAAACTTGACAACGGATCCAAAAATCCTTTAAATTTCAAAAAAGACCAAAATTTATCGATAAAAGGGACAATGCAACACCAATGGCGATTCTTAGAATAGGAACCTATGCAAGACAGTTGGAAAAGTTGATTTCACATATCTCACTATGAGAAAGAGATTTGAAGCAACTAGGCCTTCCAAGGGAAATCGTGGGAGGAGTTCATGCAAGAGTGAGGTAACTCCTAGTTTGACTGTACGTATAAAGAAGAAGGAAAAAGAAATAGCCAATGATGCAGACTTGCAGAGAAGTCATCTCTTCAACGAAATCAGCACCAAAATATAAGCACAAGAACTAAACACTTGAGGAAGCAAGCTTTAAACAAAGGAATGGTACCATTGTAATGTTTTATATGAAGAGTCATATTTTTAAAGTTTAGGTTTCTTACTTGTATATATACTCTGTTGTACCAACCATTTAAGTCTATCAAATCCAAGTATCTTTCTTCACATGGTAACAAACTAGGCTCCTTTCACCAACAAAATTCCCTTTTTTTTTCTTCTTACCAAATCAATTTTGTTTTCCTCTTGCACGATAACTGTTCTTGTCCCGATGCATCTTTGGCTGTTGTTTGAAAAACTAACACCACAATCTTACTCAGAAGTCAGGACGACGTCACCGTGAAAGGCTATCGCAAAAAACTCAACTTTGCCTTATCCCGTATTGAATTGATTGCATTTCATTATGATCCTATGATTATTAGGGTGTTGTCAATTTCAGTCCACAACTTTCAAAACTAGCAATTTAGTACCGTAACTATTTAATTTTTATCAATTTTAGTCAGTACGGCCAAATTTCTAGCCAATTATCGCCAATTTTTATCCACATCTCACCTGCCTCTATATTAATTCAAACAATGGTTTACAAATTATCTTTCATTTTAACACTGAATTAAAAGATTTCGGCGACAATTTGACGGGGCTGACTAAAATTGTTGAAAAGTTAGGGTATTAAATTGTTAGTTTTGAAAGTTGTGGTCTCAAATTGACAACACCCCAATAGTCATATGACCAAAAGTGAAATTTACACTTGAACTTTATTATAACTTACAATTTGCAGTGAAAAATTGGGATTTAATTAGTACCATATTAGGGGTTTAGAATTTCTTACTGGTAAACACTGTCCCCCATGTACCCAAAAAAATAAAAAATTAAAAACTTAGTATCATGTTATCCTTCTTGCAACCAGTGACTCCTAGACATATGTTGAACTTGAGGTAACTCAACGGTAAATCCTATCCACCACAAGTGTACCCAAAATGGATGCATAAAAGATTATACCATATTATTGCACTTCCCGATGAGTGCAACCCTAGATGTGTGTTGAACTTATTGAAACAATATTAGTTGATTCTCTTTGTCCGCCTTGAGAAGGGTCACATTCTACTTTGTTTCAAAAAAAGTTGTTTTTAATATGATCATTTCTTATGTTCCAATATAGCATAATTCTTTAAAAATTAGGCAAGTACCATTTCTTATGTATTTGATTGAATATATACTTATTAGTTATTACTCCAGAATATAAATTTTTATTTTCAAAATTCAATTTATTAGTATAAAAACATAAGCTTGGTTAAATTGGCTGAGAGAATTGTAAAAGGGGCTCAAATGGGATGGTGAGTAATTCATTTTGGATTACTCATAGAAAGAAAAAAAAAATGTCCGGAGACACATTTTGGAAATGAGAATTCTTAAAGCTTCATTTCTCTAATGTGTCTTTTGGAAGACTTTACTATATTCATCCTATCAAAATCCGCATTAGAGAATGTGGCTTTTAACCCAATTTTTAAACACTTCTGCTCAATTGCCTGAAATCTTTCTATATGAAGTCCTTACGGAGGCAATCATGTTTGTGACAGGTGAGGATTAGGGAGAATGTCTGATGCATTTCATAGGAGATAAGAAGTAAAGCTTTTCATCTAAATCCAACTTCCTCTATGACTATGGAAGAGCTTGGCATTTTTTTTTTCCACAAGTCATATTTATGAAATGCAGTTTTCTTAAGATTACATTTCTAAGATGCGACATCTTTTAATTTTCTTAGCAACTACAAATGTTATATAGTACTATTATTTTGCTAATGAAAATTGGGTAATACATAATTAGTCTTCATTAAAATTTGCTTATTTTTGACATTTTGTATAAAGTAAATAAAATATGTATAATTTATGAACTTCCCAGTATAGCCATTTCATTGATATTTTGCATCTAACTATGACATTTTACTCTATTTGTTTTATATGTCATTACTCTCTTTTGGGCAAAATAACCAAATGTGTACACTTATGGTTTTTATTCATATTCAGGATTCTAAAAAGCTTCATACTATTAAAGATTATGGAAAAGAGTTGGTAGGGACTAAAATCAAAGTCTGGTGGCCCCGGGATAGAAGGTAAGTACTTAAGAAGGGCAAATTGAATGACTGTCTTAGTACCCATTGAAATAGAACGCTTCACTTGTTCCATTATTACCTTTTGAGATGGAAAGCATCACTTGTTCCATTGATTGCAACATTTGACAATTTCCCTCAGTTGTTAACAGCTTGTGTTTTTTAACTTCAAATTCAATTTTATAAATTTGACACCTAAGGTTATAGGTCTGAAAGATGAATCCTTTTGAGATATCGCATTTACATTATTTGAATCCTATGGTAAATATATACAAATTGTTGCATTTAATTTGTAAACATGTAGCTTATGCACTTTTGATTTATTCTTTTAATATGTATTTTTAAAGTTTTGCTCTTTTAAGTCTAAGAAGCGCTGCCAAGGACCTTGTGGTCCAATGGCACCAAGTTGCTCCCTTATATGGGAGGTTGTGGGTTTGAACCTCAGTGGAAGCGATATTAGCTCTCTGTGCTTCATTAGGTTGAAAAAGCATTGTATTAGAGTCAATTCTTGTCATATTTTCTGTTCTTTTCTCTTTACAGGTTTTATGAGGGGGTGATTTCTTCTTTTAACCCTAAGACAGAAAAGCACAAGGTACATAAGCCCAACGGGCAGATATTTCTGTATTTTATGTGTTGCATATAATTGCCCTTGGGATATACTATTTTCTATCTTCAAAAATAGGATTTTCCAAGATAAAGGGCAAATGCTCTTCCCTAACAATTTGCTTTTCTAGGATAGTGATATTTAGGCTGAGTTTGACGCATCTTCACTACTCATGCTCCATTATGTTGGCAATTATAAACCAACTCCCATTATTCTAATTTCTGCCCAATCCATTTCGAGATAACGTGGATGCAATTTCTAGGTTAGCCAACTGCCTCGTTGTAACATAACGTGGATGCAATTTACAGGGGCGTGTAACTGACTGACTTTGCTTTCTGATTGAGTAAAGAGGAAGAGGAAGGGAGATAAGGACGCCGTCGTTTTACTTTTTTTAAAAAATCATTTTTAATTGCCGTTAGTTACGTAAACATATGTTCATAATTTTATAATTTCACATTCTGAATGTATAGTTATGAAGTTATGGATGTGTAGTTATGCAATTCTGAATGTATAATTATGAAGTTATGGATGTGTAGTTATGCAATTCTGAATGTATAGTTATGAAGTTATGCAATTCTGAATGTATAGTTATGAAGTTAATGGATGTGTAGTTATGCAATTCTGAATGTATAGTTATGAAGTTATGAATTATAGTTATGCAATTTTGAATGTATAGTTATGAAGTTATGGATGTGTAATAAAAAAACTGATTGGTGGAGTTAAACGGTGTCACAAACGGCACTGTTACTCCAAAATAGTGAAACGACGTCGTTTGCAACCGTGTGCGCCATGCATGGTGCACACGGTTGCACAGCATAACAATTGTTCTTCGGCAAATTATATCGTGCACCAAGGTGCACATTAAAAGTTTATGTGTATTATTATATATTATGTTAGATCAGATTATGTGTATTATGTTAGAAGTTTATGTGTATTTTACTATACAAATATGTACATACGAAACATGAGATTTTTAGGGCGCACAATGCATTGTGCGCCCTGGTGCACGATATACCAATTATATTTCTTTTACATGAAATAGTTGTTAGCTGATAGCTGTTAGTTGATTGACCGATTGAGTTTGTGGGTTTGACTATTTGATAGCATTAACTGATTGTAGAAAGATGTTTGGTAAATTAGCTGTTAGTTGATAACTGATTACATGCAAAATGACATTCTTAAAATGTTGATCGAAAAAGTTGATTTGAATAGTTTTTTTTAATTTTAGCATTTTGAATCAATCAACTATTACAAAAAGTTAATTAATCAAACACTTATATTTTGACTGTTTAATCAAGTTAAACAGCTAATAGTGGTCAAATAAACTAAAATTGACTAATAAGCTATTTATGTTACCAAACATAGCCTCAAAACAAGTTAAGGGTGTATACACGACGGTTATAGTCAAACCTGTGGCCGAAAAAAATAGCTGGCACAAAATGCCCTCAGTCGTAGGTACATTTTACGAATCACATTTTAATTATGACGCATTTTATATTTTATTTAAAAAATTAATTCACACACAATTTTAAATTTATAAAAGAAAATACATATATCCCCTCTCAATTTTTACCTCCAAACTTTTCCTGGTTTATTCATTGGGTGAATGAATTGATAAATTCACCACACCCCCGAGATTTCATCTCATTTTGATTTTGATTCTTCTTTTATGTTATTTTAATTTGACTTATTTTTATTTTATGTTATTTTAATTTAAATGATTTTATGTTATTTTAATTTGACTTATTTTTTATATTGGGTTGGCACCGTGGACAAGGGTTAAGGGCAAATTATGCTGTGCATCCGTATGCACCATGCATGGTGCATACGGATGCAAAAACGATGTCGTTTTATTAAAAATGCGTGTCTCCCCTTAAAAAAAAACCAGGTTCGATTCCCAGCAACAACATATGAACTAAAATTTCAGAATCGATGAACTATAATTCCATAATCGATGAACTAAAATTCCAGAATCTAATCTATGAACTAAAAATTCCAAAATGAATGAACTAAAATTCCAGAATCTATGAACTAAAATTTCAGAATCGGTGAACTACAATTCCAGAATCGATGAACTATAATTCCAGAATCAATGAAATAAAATTCCATAATCTATGAACTAAAATTCCAGAATGAATGAACAACATAATGTTGTTGCTGGGAATCGAACCTGAATTTTTTTTTTAAAGGGAAGACGCGCGTTTTTAATAAAACGACGTTGTTTTTGCATCCGTATGCACCATGCATGGTGCATACGGATGCATAGCATAACTACCCAGGGTTAAGCATCAATGGCTGAGTGGTGAAAATTAATACATAAATTTAATTAACAATCGTGATGAGTTAATTCCAGTAATGGTCCTCTGACTATTGCGATTTTTCAAAATTAGTCATCGACTTTTAATTTGGAAAAAAAAAGACACTTGACTTTCATATTTGTTTCAACAATGGTCCTTCCGTCAAATATCAGTTAAAGTGGCGGGTAGTGTAGTCACTTCTTTAATTGCTTTCTTCTTCCTCTTGCAAATACGTATCCAAACCTATAATATATGCCTACCACACCATCAGTACACCCATTCTTCTTCCTCTTGCCTATCCTTGTTGTTTTAACACTCTTCAAATTGTCAGGGTCACTTTCACCAGTACACCCATCAGAAACCCCAGCTTCCATATCTGGCACTATAGATGCAATCCCATCATCATCCTCAAAAAAACAAGACCTCCTTCAGTCCTTCTTGTTGTTCCAATTGCAGAGGAGTCCATATTAATAACTTTTAATTGTATCTCTCTTATTGAGATAGATAGGGGGAGAGAGAGAAATAAGAATGAGCCTGTGGAGGTGTGGAGCTAGAAATGGGGGAGGTTATAAAGAAGGTTTATGATACGATTCCACATCGGCTCCACAAGAGATTGTGGAGTGGTACTTAAGTTGGGGTCAAACCTCCACTCATGAGCTAGCTTTTGTGGCGGAATTAGGGTATTTGCTTTAGTACCGTATCAGGTTGGTAGAGATGTGATGAAGGAAGATTTAGAGAGAGAGAGACCGGTTTCAGGGATTCTGTATGAAGGAAGATTTAGAGAGAGAGAGAGACCGGTTTCAGGGATTCTGTCAAGGAGATGGCTTTGTTGTTAGTAAGGTACGGAGGGAGGGAAGCGAGCCGAGGAGGAGTCGCCGGCGTCTGATGATGTGATACCAGAGTAAGAGGGTGAGTGACCCTGGCAAGAGGAAGAAGAAACCAATTAAGGACTACACTATCCCTCTACTTAAGGCCACGTCCTTGTGACCCTGGCAAGAGGAAGAAGAAACCAATTAAGGACTACACTATCCCTCTACTTAAGGCCACGGCCTTGTGACCCTGGCAAGAGGAAGAAGAAACCAATTAAGGAAATGACTACACTATCCCTCTACTTAAGGCCACGACCTTAACTAATGTTTGTGTGTCAACCCGTTTAACTCGTTAACAAAATGTGTTCGTGTTAAAAATTTGAACATGTTAACATTAACGTGTCGTGTCCGTGTTTAGCCCTATCGTGTTCGTGTCATTATCATGTCAACCCATTAACAAACCCGTATACACGAATTGTCAAGTTACACCATCAGGCTACGCCGCTACGCGACGTCGCTAGACTATATATGGCGGGACCAAGGGACCTGCGGTAGTCGCAGGCTTGTGTGGCGGAACCGAATGGTCCACCACACTGGCCTGTGGCCTTCTTGCGGAGCTAGCCGACGAGTCAGTTGAACCCGCGGGTAGTCCTGTAAGAACAACAATGGATAACAGAGCCTTCTCCTCCTACAAACATAACACAAAAATACATCTTCAAACTCCATTTTCAGACATCGATCCAAGCTCCTCCTCAACAGCATATATCACATAAACAAGACTATAACAAGATTTTAGTACAAAATATATACACAAAAACACCATATGCTAACATTTATAAAACCAAAAGCATGGTATACACACATAGCAGATACTATTGGAATTTTTAGCATAAAATAGCAATTTTGAGTGGCTATTTTGTGGTACAAATATATGTGGGGTCCACTTCTAATTTGGGTCGAGTCAAATTTAATTCGCACTTTTCGTAGTGAGACGAAGAATTTGATATAATGTACACTCAAAATGGATAATAGCTGAATGAGAAATTGATTCTCAAAGTGAACCTATTTGAGAGAAGTCAAAAAATTCGAATTAATGCTAATTTGTTAGCATTCTCACGAATGGAAAATTAAGCATTCGTTTGTTGCTTAATTAAGCACTCTTGGTGCTTTTAAATATGAAAGGTGCTGATGATTTAAAGCACAATTCGTGCTTCTTTGCTAAGCACGGGTTCGTGGGCAAATTATGTTGTGCAATCGTGTGCACCATGCAAAAACGGTGTCGTTTTACTTTTTTTAAAAAATCATTTTTGATTGCCGTTAGTTACGTAAACATATGTTCATAATTTTATAATTTCACATTCTAAATGTATAGTTATGAAGTTATGGATATGTAATTATGCAATTTTGAATGTATAGTTATGAAGTTATGGATGTGTAGTTATGCATGCAATTCTGAATGTATAGTTATAAAGTTATAATTTCACATTCTGAATGTATAGTTATGAAGTTATGGATGTGTAGTTATGCAATTCTAAATGTATAGTTATGAAGTTATGGATCTGTAGTTATGCATTCAATTCTGAATGTATAGTTATGAAGTTATGGATGTGTAGTTATGCAATTCTAAATGTATAGTTATGAAGATATGGATGTGTAGTTATGAAATTCTGAATGTATAGTTATGAAATTATGGATGTATAGTTATGCAATTCTGAATGTATAGTTATGAAGTTATGAATTTGTAGTTATGCAATTATGAATGTATAGTTATGAAGTTATGGATGTATAGTTCAAATTATGCACAACATAATGCCGTTAACGACAATCGAAACTGATTTTTTTTTTTCGTTTAAGTTGGGCGTCAAAACGACGTCGTTTTTGAAACCATGTGCACCAGGCATGGTGCACACGGTTGCACAGCATAACGCTGCTTTAATTCGTGAAGCACGAACTGTTGGTGCTTTGATGCCCCGAATCGATTAGCACGAGTTGGTGCTTATTTAAGCACCGTTTCGTGCTTTTATTCTGGATGTCTCGGTCATTTCCGAATCGTTAACCTTTCGTATGTACGGACTTCTCAGTCACTCAGATATTTTTTAAATGGGTCGTTTTGGTCGGTACAAATTAATTTCGTGATCGTTGATATTATTGCGATAATAAATATGATTGTTTCAAAAGTTATTATCCAATTATTAAATTGAGGGGCCGGCGTCTGATGATGTGATACCAGAGTAAGAGGGTGAGTGACCCTGGCAAGAGGAAGAAGAAACCAATTAAGGACTACACTATCCCTCTACTTAAGG